TAAGACCGAAGACGTATTCGCCAATGCAAGAGGCGGAGGCGCGTGTCGAGGGAAGGATCACTTCTGCCAGACCACCTGTTTTGTGTTTGCGTTGGAGGAAATTGGAACAAATAATTCATTTCCCATTTTCTGCTCTTTTCACCAGAGCAGCGTTAACTCTAGAACCAACTGCTGCCTCGAAAGTTCTTCTACTTATTTGCACAGGAATTTTGATTGACTTCCAAAAGTTCACACCTGTATTTTTGCATTTTATGTCCAAAATCAATCATCCCAATAATTATTACAGGCATAATAAAAAGGGTAAATTTGTGTTTTTAGAGTTTAGAGGCATTAAAGCCTACAAATTGACGAAGGAGGTGGGGCAGAATCTACGTACATTAGTTAGTTTCAAAGGTGGCACACAGCTTAGCCGCCTCATTTTAACGAAATGAGTTTTCCTTCAGACTTTTGAAGGTCACCTGCTGATTTGTTTGACGGGAGCATGTTTTCCCATAGAAGAGGTGCTAATGCATCCAATTGCGTTTTTCACCACTTTGGGTGTTTTAGAGCCTGAGAAGTGTCATCTCTCTTGAGCCATTCGACAGTGCATGCTTGCAACACTCAAGAAGAGCAACATTAACGCACCGGCTAATCCTCACTCAAATGGATTATAAGAGGGGATTATGTGGCGGAGAGGGAAGCACTGCCGTGTCACTTATGCCGACGCTCCAATCATTTATCCCTACATAGCCATGGCCACGAAGCACTTAACATTCACTATTGGTTAGAGGAACACTGAACAAGAGCGATGAAACTGTCCAGGCTTTAGTGTAAGTAGTGATAACGAAGGCAGAGGAGAAAGGAATTAGCAAGCACTCACAACATTTTGCATGTTGGGCAATTATTGGAAGAATATCTTGAATTATTTCTCAGCTTCCATGATAGCTTATTTCAATACCTCGTCGGAAGTCTGTTCACTGGTGTCAGTGTGCTATTCTCTATAAAGAAAAGAACCATTCCTGGCGTGGTGTTTAACAGATGGAATTATTTTGTCGCGGTGAAAGATCTAACCACTAGATACTGCTCTAATTGAAGGAACAAAAGCATTTGATTAATAAAGTCGGGAGTAGTCAGTTGATCAGGGGAAAACCTTGTGCTATTAACTCAACGCAAGGCCTGTTGGGGAGGCAAAACTCGAGGATGTAGGGTAAGAGGTACTGTCACAAACGTGTCCCCATTCTTGACTTCAGGGTTCCTCTGGTGCTATATGTTCTTCTAAGTGATGACTGATGCATTTCTCTGACATCAAACATGCCAAACGTGCACGTCAACACAAATGAGTGATTAAGGATGTGTTGATTGACAAGTTCAAAATCCACAATAAATTAGAGCCTCTCTAAGAAACACATGATAGAATGTAACCGTAGTTATCATGATTTACCTTTCAATTTGGGCAAAATGAGCACGAGAGTAAGGTTGGCTGCATCAACAACGTGCAAGGGGAGAGTGAAACGAGTTACCGCTTGGATCCATGTAATGTCAATTAC